TTGTGTATTAAGGACAATTTCATGGGCCTGGATCATAGAATCCAACCTAGTTTGTGTTGGAAGGGACCTTAAAGCTCATCCAGCTCCAAGCCCTGCCACGGGCAGGGACACCTTCCACTGGAGCAGCTTGCTCCAAGCCCCTGTGTCCAACCTGGCCTTGAACACTGCCAGGGATGGGGCAACCACAGCTTCTCTGGGCACCCTGTGCCAGCGCCTCAGCACCCTCCCAGGGAAGAGCTTCTGCCTAAGAGCTCATCTCAGTCTCCCCTCGGGCAGGTTCAAGCCATTCCCCTTGGCCTGTTCCTACAGGCCTTGGTCCAAAGTCCCTCTCCAGGTTTCCTGCAGTGCCCCTTATGGTATTGAAAGGACACAATAACATCTCCCTGAAGCCCTTTTCCCCTGTTGCTGCCCATTTCAGTCTTTTACCACACTCCTCACTGTTCCTCCCCGTCTCCTTCCTTTCCCTTTTCGGGCACCGCTCCCTCAGGCTCTCCTTTGTCTGGAAAGCCACACACTGGAAAGGAATCACATCCCCAGTGTAGAATCTACACATTTGAAACCCAAGCATTGAAATCCTTTCCAATCAAAATAGATAAAATACATTCCCCATGTGTTGACAGTTTAAACTCACCAGCTAAGGGAGACATACCAGACATCTCCAAAGAGGAGGGCACTCACCCTCTTTTAGACATGACTTACATTAAAAACCAAACATGAGTGTCTCTCCTTACCTATTTATGAGCCAAGGTCCCATTACAGCTAAGGAGACTCAGGCCAATGCAATCAGCAGAGCTCATTCAGATCTCTTCAGCTGGAGCAATGGAGGTGTCTGCCTTGCAGTGAGAGGCATGAACCCCACCAAATCTCCCTCAACACTAAAGGGAGCTGATGGACCCAGTAAACACATAGGGGTGACATGGTGCATTCAAATGTAAGGAGATAAGTGCTTGCCCAAGAACATAGGAGATGATTCCTATTCCAATCACTAAGTACCCAAAGAAGGGGAGGTAGCTCCTACCCAGCATTTGCTCAGCTGCCTTTAAACCAGATTTAACTACAATGAAAGCAGCTCCACCTGAGTGTGGGGAGCTAAAGCCATTAGGAGCTCCTCAGCAGGAATGCCAGAAGCAAGGCACCTCATTGCCTGCTCATCATGACCCAGCAGGAAGATTCATTGCAATGCTGGCTGCTGCTTCTGCTTCCTGGAACCTCATATGGTGTTTGCTCTCATGGTCAGATGATAACCCCATTGAAGGCAATGGCATCCCTTAGACACAGCAAACCACTGGTTTCCTTAAACACACACAACAAGGAGGAAAAAGCTTTCCCTTTTGAGAGCAGCACCTCCGAAGTGAAGCCACAATGAGCAGAGCAATAGGGTTGTACACACAGACTTGTGTTTTTGAGAAACTAAGAGCTCGTATTCCTGTTTAAACACTTGGTGATGGTGAAGGAGAGAACAGCTGGACATAAAGTCATTGAATATTGTTGCAGAAGGCACCAGAGAGACCTTGTTGTGGCCTTTCAATACCTTAAGGGGACTACAAGACACCTGGAGAGGGGCTTTGGACAAGAGCCTGTAGGGACAGGCCAAGGGGAAATGCTTTAACCTGCCTGAGGGGAGACTGAGATGAGCTCTTAGGCAGAAGCTGTTCCCTGTGAGGGTGCTGAGGCACTGGCACAGGGTGCCCAGAGAAGCTGTGGCTGCCCCATCCCTGGCAGTGTTCAAGGGCAGGTTGGACACAGGAGCTTGGAGCAAGCTGCTCTAGTGGAAGGTGTCCCTGCCCGTGGCAGGGGGATGGAGCTGTGTGAGCTTTAAGCTTCATCTGGGTTAAATAATAACCAGAGAATTATCAGGAAGCTTTGGGAACAAAGCAGGATTCAGCTGATTGACCCTGGGTGCCTGTTAGTTGTGTGTTGTTAAGGAATAAGCATACCACTTAGATCCTGACTTAACTGAATCCAGCTGTTAGCGTAAGAACTGACACATAACCACCGGAATGGTTATATGAGGTGCTTTATTGCAGCGCTGGGAAACCAGGGGCACGCTCCCAAATCTGGCTTCAACCCCGTTACATCGCGCTCACAATTTATACACTAAAAATGTCGTCACTAATACATATTCAACACAGATTACATCATTGACTAATACATATGCATCAAGGATTGCCACATCAGTCTATTACGACATCAGCCTCTTCTGCCCTTGCGCATCCCCCCTCTGGTGGTCGTCCTGATGCAGTAAGGAGTCTTCCTCAGGTCATCCTGTTCACTTTTCTGTTCCTTGGACATGTCCCAATCATTATGTGGACGCCAGCATTCTCTTATTTTCACTTGACTACTCCTGGTATCTTCGTGAGTTCTGCTTCGGTAGAGTTTCACAATACTCCCTGGATCCACCCATATACCCTTCCCCATATATGGCTATGTTAATTGCTTATCATTATAGCTACCATTGTAATATTTAGTTATAAAGTAACTAAGATACACAATAACAGGATTTCAACTTGTTCTTAATACAAAAGAAACCCTCTACTGATTAACAGATTTTCAAATGTAATCATCTTTTCTCTTTGTATTATTGTTTCAATGCACAATTTCACCTATTACTAACACAGCCATGGAGCTTCTCCCTCCAACCTAGGTTATTATTGTGTCTACGATATCCCTAAAGCTCAGCCATAGCTCTGGGTTTCACCATGGTCCTGGCAGAGGCTGCAGCTCTATGGGCTGAGGTAATGCACACAGTGGAGTATTTTGGGGTGGTTTAGGTATGCAATGTGTGTCCATCATCCATCAGCTCTCTGTGCAGGAAAGCAACAGGAGAGACATCAGGGCAGGCAATGCCATTGCTCCAGGCTGCCATGGGCTGCCACGTATCAGGTCTGAAGGCTGCTGAGCAACACCACAGCTCCTGTGCTCTGGTGTGATCAGGCTGCCACGGAGATCATGGTTTTTATTGCTGCCAACAGGGAGCTCAAAGGCAAAGGTGCGGAGCAGTGGATGGGGATTGCTTGATAGTTTCTGCCCTTTGCTGGGTATTAATCACTATCACGTCTTAAAACTCTTTCAAACTGTTTGCAGAAAACCCCACAATGTTGTTCAACCAAAACCAGAGCATCTCCCCCAGTACATCCATTCTATCTGGTCCTAAACTTACAACAATTAAGATCATTTTATTTTTGTGAGCTTCCTCAAAGCCTCCTTCACCTCCTTATTCCTCAGGCTGTAGATCAAGGGGTTCAGCATGGGAGTCACCACAGCGTAGAGAACCACAGCCCATTTATCTGCTGCTCTTGAGCTGTCTGAGCTGGGGAATAAATACATAAAAAAGCATGCCCCATAGAAGATGCTGACAGTGGTGAGGTGGGAGGTGCAGGTGGAGAAGGCTTTGCGCTTGCCCTCGGCTGAATTGATGCTCAGGATGGTGGGGATGATGGCCACGTAGGAGAGCAGGATAACCAGGATGCTGGACACACCAAAGAGAGATGCTGCAGTGGTCAGGATGGTGTGGCTGAGGGTGGTGTCAGAGGTGGAGAGCGAGATGAGAGGGGAAATGTCACAGAAGAAGAGGTCGATGGTGCTGGAGCTGCAGAAGGACAGGGTGGACATGCTGATGGTCTGTCCCACGCCATTGGTCAGCCCCATGAGGTACGAGGCAGTCACCAGCTGGAAACAGCACTTTGGGGACATGACAAGGGGGTACAGCAGGGGATGGCAAATGGCCACATAACGGTCATAGGCCATTGCAGCCAGCAGGAGGCATTCAGATACTGCAAAGATATCAAAGAGAAACACCTGAGCCACACACCCAGCATAAGCAATGCTCTTCTTCTCTGACATCAAGTCAACCAAAATCTTGGGGGTGATGATGGTGGAAGAACAGAGGTCTACAAAGGCCAGGTTGCCCAGGAAATGATACATGGGGGAGTGGAGGTGGGGGCTGGCCCTGATTAAGATGATGATGCCCAGGTTGCCCACAATGGTGATAACGTAGGTGAGCAGGAAGAGCAGGAACAAGTAGACCTGAGTCACCAGGTCCTCTGTGAAGCCCGCCAGGCTGAACTCGGTCACTTGGGTGCAATTGCTTTGTGCCATGGGCTGGATGGTGCTTTGTGTGTGAGCTCCTGGCTGGGGCTTTCTTCTCCAAGAGGCAGGGATGTCCCAGGTGGAAAAGCCTCTGTGTGGTGGGAGCTGCTCAGAGACAGTCCTGCAGGATGGAAAGGGAGAGTTCAGGCACAGATCAATGAGGAAGAGCTTGGTGAAAGTCCTGTGCCAGCACAGGTAGAACAAAGGGGTGCTCAAGCAGTTAAACACCATGGCACAACGTGGTGCCTGCTCCTGTGGCTCACCTTGAGATGTTGAGCAATGACCACTCTGGAAAGCAATGGGGAGGTTGCACACCCAGGTAGCTTTACCTTAGCGCTGCAATTCATTGCCTGTGATAGTGCTGAACCTGGGGCTTGGAGACCATCCGGCTCAACCTGGAACACAGAGAAACATGGTGCTTTCGCAGTGCAGAGCTGATCCCTCATCCTCTTTTGGGCTTTTCCCAACCACCCACTTCCTCCCTCTCTGCTTGAGTTTCTTCCTAACTGGAACGAATTCCTGACCTATGGAAAGTGCAGGTTGGACAGGGCAACCTGCTCTAGTGGAAGGTGTCCCTGGCCATCACAGGGGCTTGGAAGTGGGTGAGATTTAAGGTCTCTTCCAACACAAGCCATACTATGATCCGATGCAACCTTACACAGTGGTTAGTATTGGTTTTCCCTCCCCCTTGACACACTCTGTCAGATCTAAAACCTTTTCATGGTTCTTTAACCTTTCCCTTGAGTCTCCAACAGAAATGGGCAATCCCCAGAGCTCAGCAATCCCTACTTGCACACATGTTTTGGGGAAAAAAACTCACCTTTTGGAGCTGCCTCATCTCAGCAATGGGGAGCACCCTGAATGTCCTGTACAGGAAAGCTTCTGGTGCTCATCCAGGAAACCTTTTTTGCTCAGAGGTGAGGAAGCCTCCTGAGGGTGCTCTCCACCAGGGTGATCTCCAAACCTGCCTTCTCAGCAGCTGCATGGGGAGCACACAGCACAAGCAGTTCCTTGGGAAGCCCAGAGCATCATCAAGAAGCCCACAACCCTGCAGCAGGGCAGGAGATGAAGACAGGAGCTGCTGGCTGTTGGCAAGGGAGAACCACAGGAGAATGATGGTCTGAAAGATGCTGCCCCTCACTTACATCTCAGCTCTGTCTCTGCTGCCCTCCTCATGCTCTCGGAGATGGATGTGAAGATGAACGTGCCTGGAGCTGTGCAGGGAGCCTGGGAATGAGCCAGCATCAGCAAACCCCCTTTCTATTTCAAGTGATGTGGGGATGTGGGACTGTGAATCTCTTTGTGCCCCAGGAGGTGACAAAGCCCAAAGCAGGTAATTATCTCTTCTCTGTGCTGCTTGGTTTGGAGAAGAAATGTACCCAGAGGAGATGACCTCAGCTTGAGCAAACAACAGGGCTTTGGGCTCCCTTAGAGCAAGGCACAGAACAAGCCCACCTTTGACATCCACTTTTGGAGCATTTCGGAGGCAGTTACAGCTTCACAAGGGCCATGGTTGACATTATCATGGCAGGGAGCTGAGGGGAACCTCGCCAATGGGAGCTGGTACCAGGGTCCATCAGCAATCCCAGCACCACAGGCAATGAACCAGGTTTCCACCCATCTTCAATTCCTTGTACTCAAACCATAGCTCACAAGTTTGGCTGCAAAGGAGCCAACAGAAGATCGTGGTGACCTTGCTAACGACGAGGTAAATGCTGTCCTCTACTTCTTGTCCATGCAAACATCAATGCTCACATCACCCAAGGCACTCGGGCTGGTCAGGCGTGACTTGGCCTTGGTACCTCTGGGCTGGCTGCTCATGGTCACCCTCCTGTCCTTACTCTGCCTGATGACAGCTTCCTGGGGAATTTGTTTCTTTATCCCACTGGGGACCAAGGCAGCCCCAGTCCTTGTGCTCTCCTTGATGATGACATTCACCTTCTTCCACCCATCATGCTGGAAGCACAAGAGACAAAGGAGAGCCTGAGGGAGCGGTGCCCAAAAGTGGAATGAAGGAGATGGGGAGGAACAGTGAGGAGTGTGGTAAAGGACTGAAATGGGCAGCAACAGGGGAAAAAGGCCCTTCTGAAGCGTGCTTTAGGGTTGCCCTTGTCACTGGTGGCTCTGATGGATGCTCCCAAGCCCATCACAGAATCCCAGAGAGGCTTGTGTTGGAAAGGACCTTAAAGCTCATCCAGTTCCAACCCTTGCCATAGGCAGGGACCCCTTCCACTGGAGCAGCTTTCTCCAAGCCCCTGTGTCCCACCTGGCCTTGAACACTGCCAGGGATGGGGGAGCCACAGCTTCTCTGGGCACCCTGTGCCAGTGCCTCAGCACCCTCACAGGGAAGAGCTTTTACCTAAGAGCTCATCTCAATCTCCCCTCTGGCAGGTTCAAGCCATTCCCCTTGGCCTGTCCCTACAGGCCCTGATGAAGAGTCCCTGTCTTATTCTATCTGAGTAAGTTGCTTCACATGTTGTGTTCTCTTTTCTTGAGGGAATTGTCCAAATGTCTCTATTTTTCATGAAAACTCCATCGGAAACTTTGATTAAAAGCTTATAAAGTGAGCATTTCACTTCACACCAACCTATATTCGATTTTGACTGGTTGCCATTGCATTCATTCATTATTCATCACAGTTCTTTGCAGAAGACCACGGTTTCCAAAGGTGCTTATTTTAAACCACAAATTTATTCAGTTTGTCATTATACAAGTACATGTTCTTCCAGCAATTGTACAGTTCATTAAACAGAAATGGTGTGTTTGGATTAAATGTTAAAAATCCTCCATCTACTATTTCATTTAGAGCATCTTTCCCCTCAATAATGTGATGACATACAGAAGGGGATGTGACATGGTCAAATCCACAAAGCACAGACCTGGTACTGAACATCCAGAAAGGAAAAGATGTAAAGACCACACATCCCAGGAAGATTTTAGTTGGGACATACTTCTGGCCACATGCTAACCTATGTGTGCCTATCACAGGTCCTTAGCACTGCTCCAGCTCACTTACGTGGGATAAATGTATTGGATGCTCATATCAGGTATCACAGAATCCCAGACTGGTTTATGTTGGAAGGGACCTAAAAGCTCTCAACTTCCAACCCCTGCCATGGGCAGGGACAATTTCCACTAGAGCAGTTTGCTCCAACCCCTGTGTCCAACCTGGCCTTGAACACTGCCAGGGATGGGGCAGCCACAGCTTCTCTGGGCACCCTGTGCCAGCACCTTGGCACCCTCATAGTGAAGAATTCCTTCCTCAAATCCAATCTGGATCCCCCTGCTTCAGTTTGAACCCATCACCCCTTTTCCTATCCCTACACTCCCTGATGAAGAGTCCTTCTCCTGCATCCCTGTAGCCCCCTTCAGACACTGGAAGCTGCTCTGAGGTCTCCAAGCAGCTTCTCTTCTCCAGTCTGATCAGCCCGAGTGTTCTCAGCCTGGCGCAATACGGGAGCTGCTCCAGCCCCTGAGCATCCTCGTGGCCTCCTCTGGACTTACTCCAGCAGCTCCATGGCCTTCTTATGTTCCCTGCAGAGAAGGACCTGGGGGTGCTGGTCAATGAGAAAAGGACCATGAGCCAGCAGTGTGTGCTTGCAGCCAAGACACGAACCGTATCTTGGGCAGCATCCAAAGGAGAGTGGCCAGCAGGTAAAAGGAGTCGATCCTGCCCCTCTGCTCTGCTCTTGTGAGACCTCACCTGGAGCACTGTGTGCAGTTCTTGTGTAGTCAACATAAAAAGGACATGGAACTGTTGGAACAAGTCCAGAGGAGGCCACGAGGATGCTCATGGACTGGAGCACCTCCCGTATGAAGACAGGCAGAGGAAGTTGGAGCTGTTCAGCCTGGAGAAGAGAAGCTGCGTGGAGACCTCATAGCAGCCTTCCGGTATCTGAAGGGGGTCTATAGGGATGCTGGCGAGGGACTCATCATTAGGGATTGTAATGACAGGACAAGGGGTAACGAGTTAAAACTGAAACAGGGGAAGTTTAGGTTGGATATAAGGAAGAAATTCCTTCCTGTGAGGGTGGTGAGGCACTGGAATGGGTTGCCCAGGGAGGTTTTGAATGTTGTATCCCTGGCAGTGTTCAAGACCAGGTTGGACAGAGACTTGGGTGGCATGGTTTAGTGTGAGGTGTCCCTGCCCATGGCAGGGGGGGTGGAACTAGGTGATGTTAAGGTACTTTCCAACCCTAACTATTCTATGATTCTAGTATTCTATAGACACCAAAACTGTATCAGAACTGCAGGGGATACCAGAGCTGTATTGAACCTTTGGTCCTTCCCTCAGATCTTCAAGCTTGCTTGGGATGAACAGTTATGAACCAGGCAACGGAGACAGTGGTCACTGCCTTACCTCAAGGCTGAGCCTCCTTTTTGTGGGAACTACTTTCATTTAGCACAATTTAGACACAAAACACCATGGTGCTGTCTCAGTCCTGCTATTAAATAACTGATACTTATTTGGATGAATTATCCAAGACTCAGTCCACGCTTAAAATCACCAGAACCTGTTTGAAGGAACCATTCATTCCCCAGACTCCTTCTGGCTGCATCAACACCTCCAAGACCAGTTCTCCTGCAGAGACCTACCCAGGAAGAAAGGCCCAGGACAGTTTGCTTTGTATTTCCCCATCTATCACACACCTCTTGCTTTCAGTGTTTCCCTGAGGAAGCCCTTTACATCACCAGAGATCATCTAATATTGCATTGAAGGGAGCTGAAAACAAACACAACAAAGCATCCTCTGTGTGGATGGTTCGCGCTGGTCATGGGGAGTCCTTTTCATCAGATGCATTTATTTCCATACACTTGACTAGTGATTGTACAGCACTTTGGTCAAAACCATTGGCTCAAAATGTGGCTGCTTTGATGATATATCAGGATGAAGTCATATTTCCCAGTCTTCATCTGAAGAATCCTGAGTGCTGGTGTGTCCTGAATGCTTCTCCTAGATGAAGAGACATGATAAAACCCTTAGGAGAAATACTAAATGATAACCTTGTCCCAGACATTTAGAAATGACAAAGGATGGGGCAGATAGAAGAGAAAACCAAGCTATGAAAATGTGGGGAAGCAAGAAAGAGAAGAATGTAGATGGCTTTAGATGTTTTCAATGTCAACCTGTTTTTCTGCTGGAAGGCACCAGACTGACAGTCCAGGAGATGCACTGAAGGAGGGAAGTAAAGGATTTCTGAGTGGTTTTGAATGTCTTTCTTCCCCACTGAGTACTGGGCTAAACCGAAGGCTTGTGAAGTGGGAAAATCAATATAACAGAGGGAGAAATAACCCTCAACCTAACTTAGAAAAGAAGAATAATATAATTCAAAGATTATTGAAAAGAGCTACATGAATCCAGAAAGAGGCACTGAGAATACCTGGGTGTGCTTCTGCAGGGTGAATAATGCAGCTTGAAGTCCCAGATGCAGACAGCTGAGTACAGCACTTGCTCCATCAGCTTCGTCAAGATAGCCAGGCAAGCAGCACCTTGGCTGTTCAGGGGAGAGGAATACCCCTGATCCTCCCTCCCAGCAGCACTCAGGCTCTTTACACCCCTACTTAAATTCACAGCACAGCAGAGGCTCAGATATGACTTGTCCCCATTTAGCACAAAGGCTTTGTTGACAAACAGACTGTCACAGCTTTATTTCACAGAATCCCAGAGAGATTTGTGTTGGAAGGGACCTTAAAGCTCCTCCAGCTCCAACCCCTACCACGGGTAGGGACACCTTCCACTGGAGCAGCTTGCTCCAAGCCCCTGTGTCCAACCTGCCCTTGAACACTGCCAGGGATGGGGTATCCACAGCTTCTCTGGGCACTCTTTGCCAGCGCCTCAGCACCCTCACAGGGAAGAGCTTCTGCCTAAGAGCTCATCTCAGGCTCCCCTCTGGCAGCTTCAAGACATTCCCCTTGGCCTGTCCCTGCAGGCCCTTGGCAAAAGCCCTCCTGCAGGTTTCTTGTAGTCCCCTTCAGACACTGGAAGCTGCTCTGTGGACTCTAAGCAGCTTCTCTTCTCCAGGCTGCACAGCCCCAATGTTCTCAGCTTGGCCCCATATGGGAAGTGCTCCAGCTCCTGAGCATCCTTGTTGCATCTCTGGACTTGCTCTAGCAGCTCCATGTCCTCCTTTTGTTGGGGACACCACAGCTGTATCAAATCCTCTTGACCTTCCACCAGTTCATCACTGAGGAAACGCTTATAAAGTAGGCAATGGAGACAGTGGTCAGTGGCTTACCTCAAGCTTTAGCCTCCTTTTTGTGGGCTCTACTTTCATTTAGCACAATTTAGACACAAAACACATGGTGCTGTCTCAGGCCTGCTATTAAATACCTAATAATTATTTGGATGAATTAGAATTACTGAAGGCTCAGGCCTCACTGAAAACAACCTGAAGCTGTTTGAAGAGAACCATTCGTTGTGCTGGTTCTCCATACCCTGCACTTGCTGTAATAATGACCAGTAGTGAGCTATAATGACCAATAATGGCTAGTAATGCTCAATTCCATAATCACAGATTCCACATATTCCTTCCTTACCTCCACAGTACTGAAGAGCTCCAAATGTGCTTTCAAACCCTGCATAGATGTGGCAGCAGCTTTCGCTCCCACAGCCTCCTCAGAGCCCCCTTCACCTCCTTGTTCCTCAGGCTGTAGATGAGGGGGTTGAGGGTTGGGGTGAGGATGCAGTAACACACCGACACCAGCTTTGCCTGATCCCATGAGGATGCCTCATGAGGCTGGACATAGGTGAGGATCCCGGGTGCGTAGAAGATGGTGATGGCAACCAAGTGGGAAGCACAGGTAGAGAAGACCTTCAGCCTCCTCGTGGCCAAAGGGATCTGCAGGACGGTGTGGAGGATGTAGATGTAGGACACCAGGATCATCAGGAGAGGGCCCACGGTGTTTAACACAGTGTGGTAAACCTGCAAGACATCATTTGTGCTTGTGTTGGAGCAGGAGAGCTGCAGGAGGGTGGGCAGCTCACAGAAGAAGTGGTTGATGCTCCTGGCCTGACAGAAGGACAACCTCCCTGCCAGTGTGATGTGCACCAGGGAGGTGAGGAACCCGATGGTGTACACCAGCACCATCATGCCATAGCAACGCGCCCTGGTCATGGTAGTGGTGTAGAGCAGGGGCTTGCACACAGCCATGTATCGGTCGTAAGCCATTACCCCAAGCAGGAAGGTCTCACAGACAGCCAGAGCCACGAAAATATACATCTGGGCAAAGCAACCCCAAAAGGAGATGTGGCTTCTCCCCAGCAGGAAGGTCTCCAGAGCTTTTGGGATGATAGCAGAGGAAAGGCAAACATCCATGCAAGATAAGTGGCTCAGGAAGAAGTACATGGGGATGTGGAGGTGGGGGTCAGTGTTGATCAGCAGGATCATCATCAGGTTCCCCAGCACCATGAAAACATAGAGGGATAAGAAGACTGTGAAGATGGTGTTTTGTAGCGCTGGGGCATCAGAGAAACCCAAGAGGATGAAGCTGGAGAGAACCGTGAGGTTTCCTGTATCTGTCATTTCAACAAGTTGATGGATTTGGATTGAAATGAAAGGAATCAGTGAAATACATCCCTACAAGAGAACTAATGTGGAAGTTTAGTTGGAGTATAATCCACAAAGTAAATGCAATAGAAAATGGTGTATTTGTAATGGTGTATTTCTGTCTGTAACTCAAGATCTGAAGTCAAAGAGGTGAAGGAGCACATTACACGACTGGAAATTAAAAGAGAATAATTCTACAATGATTGATATTCACATTACTAATGAAACACTGAGAAACATCATGTCTATCCAAACGTAATACAATAAAACCAAATAAGTACCTCACAAAATGTGGAAAACAGAAAAGATGTTGTATTTTCTTCACTGATTTCTGGGAATTTTAAAGATTTTTTTTCTCCCTTTTTTGTATTTTTCGGAGTGGATCAGTGCTCTTCTGTAGCTTCATTACTTGTGCTGCATCCTTTTCAACACCACACAAAGCCATGTGCTTGAAATTTGTTTTACGTTCTAAGTTTATCTGCTTTTGAACACACCCACCCTGCATAATGTTAAGGGAAAGCAGTGGACTTGGCTCCAGCAGAGCTTTGCTGTGGTTGCAGTGAGCTTCCTATGACCAACCCAAATATCCACCTAAGGGTTTAAAACACAAAATATGCCCTATATAAACCAAAATTTTAAGGCTTTAGCTTGGATATTATCATGCTAAAATATCGCTAAATCAGTTGTAGATGGGGTCAGGAATGCTGGTGTTTTTGAAGCAAACCTACCCCATACTAGGACACTTTTATTCACACCATGGGTTATCATAGAATGGTTTGGGTTGAAAGGAAATTAAAGCTCACACAGCTCCAAACCCTGCCATGGGAAGGGACACCTTCCACTGGAGCAGCTTGCTCCAAGCCCCTGTGTCCAACCTGGCCTTGAACACTGCCAGGGATGGGGCAGCCACAGCTTCTCTGGGCACCCTGTGCCAGGGCCTCAGCACCCTCACAGTAAAGCACTTCTTCCTTATCACCAACCTGAATTTCCCTGTTTCAGTTTAAACCCATCACCCCTTGCCCTATCAATACAGTCCCTGAAGAAGAGTGAAATATAACATGCCATCAAGCATGTGAGAGGCAGCAAGACCAGGGTCAAACTGGACCCACCACCCATCAAACCCTTTTGTACCTACTTGGTTAAAGAGGAAGGTGGTGGTGGATGCAGTGCCTGCAGCTCCTCCTGGAGACCATGCGATGGGTTGAAGGAGAGACGCCTGGGAGCAGGATGCTCCAGGCTGGCTGGTGGAGGGGTTTTATCTCACAGGAGGCATTACCTCAGAGGCTTGTGTTGTACAAACTGTTCTCCCAAGGATCCTCCTCCATCGGATAATTAGTTTGACTTGATCAGCAAAACAACCTCTCAATTCCTCTCTCCCCAAACTCCTTCTGGCTGCATCAACACCTCCAAGACCAGTTCTCCTGCAGAGACCTACCCAGGAAGACAGGCCCAGGACAGTTTGCTTTGTATTTCCCCATCTATCACATACCTCTTCCTTTCAGTGTTTCCCTGAGGAAGCCCTTTACATCCACAGAGATCATCTAATATTGCATTGAAGGGAGCTGAAAACAAGCACAACAAAGCATCCTCTGTGCGGATGGTTTGAGGTGCTCATGGGCATTAGTTTCCAAAAGGCAGCTTTATTTCCATATACTTCACTAGTGATTGTACAGCACTTAGGTCAAAAGCACTGGCTCAAAACATGGCTGCTTTGAGGATATATCAGGATGAAGTCAGATTTCCCAGACTTCATCTGAAGAATCCTGAGTGCGGGTGTGTCCTGAATGCTTCTTCTACATGAAGAGATATTATAAAACCCTTGGTAGAAAAATTAACTGATAACCTTGTCCCAGACATTTAGAAAACACAAAGGATGGGGCAAACAGGGGAGAAAATCGAGCTATGAAAGTGTGGGGAAGGAAGAAGGAGAAGTACACAGGTGGCTTTAAATATTTTCAATGCAAACCTTGTTTTCTGCTAGAAAGCAACAGACTGACAGTCCAGGAGATGGACTGGAGGAGGATAGAAAAGGATTTCTGAGTGGTTTTGAATGTCTTTCTTCCCCATTGGGTACTGGGCTAAAGCAAAGGCTTGTGAAGTGGGAAAATCAATATAACAGAGAGAGAAATAACTCTCAATCAAATTCTGGAAAGAAGAAAAATATATAATTCAAAGATTATTTAAAGGAACTACATGAAGGCAAAAAAGGCCACTAAGAATGCCTGGGTGCAGTTGTGCAGGGTGAATAATGCAGCTTGAAGTCCCAGATGTAGACAGCTGGGTACTGCACTTGCTCCATCAGCTTTGTCAGGGGACCCAGCCCAGCAGAACCTTGGCTTTTCAGGGGGGAGGAGGACGCCAAATCCTCCCTCCTAACAGCACTCAGGTTTTTTACAACACGACTTAAATTCACAGCAGAGCAGAGGCTCAGATATGACTTGTCCCCATTTCCCACAAGGGCTTTGACTTCAAGAGACTGACAGCTTTATTTCTTAGAATCCCAGCCTGGTTTGTGTTGGAAGGGACCTTAAAGGCCCTCCAGTTCCAACCCCTGCCACGGGCAGGGATACCTTGTACTAGGGAAGCTTGCTCCAAGCCCCTGTGTCCAACCTGGCCTTGAACACTGCCAGGGATGGGGCAGCCACAGCTTCTCTGGGCACCCTTTGCCAGCACCTCAGCACCCTCACAGGGAAGAGCTTCTGCCTAAGAGCTCATCTCAATCTCCCTCTGGCAGTCCAGAAGGGATGTTATCCTCAAGATCTCAGTACAGGAACAAGGGGAAGGTGCCAGCTCCATAGAGCTATAACACACTGTTTGGCTAGCTGCTCTTTCAAGAGCCCTACAGCACAAACTGTCTAATGAGTGAAGAAAAGGATCGTTTAAAATAGGAAGCAAAAGAGCCCCATGCTCACACCACCAGCATCCCTCTGGTTCCTCAAGGGGATGGTTTCTGCTGCCCTGAAATAACGCAGAGGAGGTAAGGTTTGCTACAAGGCCTGCGGATCCTGTGGATGCCACAGGACAAAGCAGGGTTTTCATATCAGGGATTTCTTCCTCTTTGCTCTCAGATCCACTTGAAATGAGTTTTAATACTACCAGCTTCTCCAGGCTCCAGCTAGAAGGGTAATGCTGCTCTGTCTTCCCCCATGCAGCATCTACCCGTCCTTCCAGAGCCTTGTCCTTTGTGGTATTCACAGAGCCAGGGGTGAAACAAGTCAGGGGATTACACATTAACCACCAGCGAGCTGTCAGACCAGGCAAGGGTCAGCCCAAAGGGCTCCCAAGAGCCAGGTCAGGATACACCCAACAGGTTTTAAAATTAATGGCACCAGAAGGTCTTATTTGAAAAATTCCAGCCCAAAATTGTTGCCTTTAAGAGTTTTATTCAGCCTTCAAACATCCCCAAAGGTAGTTTTTTTAGTACATACCAGTATGTACTGTCTCATATTCGTATTCAAAAACAAGATTACCTCTTGGGAAGCACTCTTAGATGTGTTCAGCCCTCAGTGTAGGGAAAATACAGCTCTCCTTTATCTCAGTTTATGCTGCTACTTAGAATGAAAATATAAAAGCACAACTTCCTTTTCATTTTGAAGCAGCTGCCTTTACTTTTCAATCAGAAATGCTTTTGTTACTGTGCAACTAAATATGAGAGGGGGCTGCAGGGCCTTCCAGGAAAGGACAGAAATCACCTCTTTACTCCCCAAAAGCCCTAGTAGGGAATGACCCTGGTTATTCCTGCCTAGCACTTAATGTTCTGTAACAAAAGGTGGGTTGCCTACCCCATGCAGGTTACCAGGATGGATCCACCAGTAACCCAGGAACTTGGTTACTGTATAGGCATCCTCACCCATTTAATTCAGCATCAGAGAGCACCTAAATAGGCCCAGCTCCTCCCCTGGGATTATTTAGGTGGTGATGGGTGTGATTTACATACATCAACAACAAGGAATTAAATCCTTCACCTCCATGGGATAAAGCTTGAGACCTTACCTGTTTTGAGATCTGATGTGTTTTTGTTTGCTTTCATTACAAAATCTGGGATGGCTTTGTCAGGAGTAAAGATGTGCAATGGGGATACTTTCTGAGAGGGATCTGTGGATCTAGAGGATACAACTGATGGAGAAGGGAATCCTTTAAAACACCAGTAATTAGCACTTCAAATTGTGTATGGATAGCACAGACTATTTAATGAAAAAAACATTTAAAAGGCAGAGTGAATTTGATATCCTCAACATCAGGAGGACATGGATCAAGTCCAGACGAGGCCACAAGGATGATCAGGGGCTGGAGCACCTCCCATATGGAGCCAGGCTGAGAACATTGGGGCTGGTCAGCCTGGAGAAAAGAAGCTGCGTGGAGACCTCAGAGCAGCTTCCAGTGTCTGAAGGGGGCTACAAGGATGCTGGAGAGGGACTCTTCATTAGGGACTGGATTGACAGGACAAGGGGTCATGAGTTCAAATGAAACACAGG